CCTTTGTAGCCTCCCCCACCTCCATTTTGGGTAGCCTACAGTAATCAACTTTTATAAAGACTACTGCATGTTGACATAGCAGATTTGGAGGTCTGGTATGTACTAAAAATCACAGCTATATTAAGGATGCTGCTGTGTTCATTCTACTGTGCATAATAAGGTCACTATGAGTCAGTACCAATTCGATGGCTCCTAACAACAACAAGTCTTCCAAGTTAAGATGTCTGGTTACAAATGGTTTGTGTTTGACAACAGTACTATGGAAGAAAGGGCTAGTGATCTGCTTTCTTAAAGACTGCAGCCCATATAACACTATGGAACAGGCCAACTCTATAACATGTGAGATCACTACAAAATGAATTGACTTGACAGCCACAGTTTTTTTTTGTTTAGTTTAAATTCTTCTAAATGATATTACTTACTCATTTTTAAAAGCCAGTCTGAGGGATCTTACACAGACCAAGAAGCAGTTGTGTGAAAAGAACAAGGGGACAGACACAGAATGATTTAAAATGAGGAAAGGTGTGCGTTAAGGTTGTATTCTTTCACAAGACATATTCAATCAGTATGCTGAGCACATAATCCGAGACAATGGATTATAAGAAGAAGAATGTGGCATCAGTATTGGAGGAAGACTCATTGACAACCTCTGATATGCAGATGATACAATCTTGCTTGTTGGAAGTGAAGAGGACTTAAAATACTGACAAAGATAAAAGACAGCAGCCTTCGTTATCGATTGCACCTCAATGTAAAGAAAACAAAAGTCCTCAACACTGAACCAATAAATAACATTATGATAAGTGGAGAACAGATTAAAGTCAAAGACTTTATTTTGCTTGGATCCACCATCAACACTCATGGAAGCAGCAGTAAAGAATATTGCATTAGGCTAATCTGCTGCACAAGATCTCCTGACAGTGATCAAGAGCAAAGATGTCAGTTTGAGGATGGAGGTGTGCATGGCCCAAGCCAGGGAATTTTCAGTCTCCTCATATGCATGTGAAAGTTGGACAATGAATGAGGAAGACCACAGAAGAATGGATGCATTTGAGTTCTGGTGTTGGAGGAGAATATTGAAAGTGCCATGGGCTGCCAAAAGACCAAACAGATCTGTGTTTGAAGAAGTGCAGCCAGAGTGCTCCTTGGAGGCCAGGATGACCAAACTTCACCTCTCATACTTTGGACATATTGTCAGGAGGAACCTGTCTCTGGAGAAAGAAATTATGCTTGGTAAAGTGGAAGGTCAGAGAAAAAGAAGGGAGACCCTCAACGAGATGGACTGGCACAGTGGCAGCAGCAATGGACTCAAGCTTAGCAATGATTGTGAGGTTGATGCAGAACCAGAGAGTGTTTCATTCTGTTGTGCAGAAGATCACTATGAGTCAGAACTGACTCGACAGCACCTAACAACAACAACAATCTTTAAAGCAAATTGTTATATAAGAATTAAAACAGAGAATGATGTAAGTTACTTAGATTTCAAACCTGACTTTTAATTCTGTAGTTGAAATTTTAAGATAGGGGGAAAATTAAGATTCTGATCCTTGAACAGTTTTATTAATACTCAGGTTTTAATGGAAGCGCATCACCAAGTACTAATTTAATAATCAGTTTATGATAATGTGGTGACTTGTGTGTGGCTGTAATGCTGGAAGCTATGACAACAGTATTTTAAATACCAGCAGGGTCACCATGGTACATAGGTTTCAACAGAGCTTCTAGGCTAAGATAGACCAAGAAGAAGAAAAGGCAGACCACTACAGAAAATCTTACAAATAGCAACAAAACATTTCAAATATAGTGCTGGAAGAGCCCCATAGGTTGGAAGGCACTCAAAATACACTGGGGAAGAATTGCCTCCTCAAAGTAGAGTTAAACTTAGTGATGTGAATGGAGCAAAGCTTTCAGGACCTTCATTTGCTGATGGAGCACAACTCAAAATGAGAAGGAACAACTGCAAACATCTATTAATAGTTATAATGTAGAATGTATGAAGGATGAATCTAGGAAAACTGCAAGTCATCAAAAATGAATTGGACCATGTAAAGATCAGTATCCTAGACAATTGTAGATGAAATGGACTGGTATTGGTCATTTTGAATCTGACAATCATAGGTTTACTATGCAGGGAATGACAATTTGAACAATGGTGTCAC